TCATTTTAAATGAGTAGCATAAAAAAACAGCAAACGTCATTTTATGAGTGCATGTAGCATCTTTTTCATGAGCTAATTATTTTAAAACACTACAAGAAAACAATCAATTGCTTCTATATCACAATTTTAGACAATCATAACGATTCTGAGAAGAAATGTGAAGTCATTATTCATTATGACATCATTAATTAAAGGCCCTTAAACACATACTATGTTTTTGTGTGTGAGAGTGTGCGCATGTGTTCTGTGTGTGTGTGTGTGACAGACTGTGTGTTAATCTTTCTAATGCCTCGAACCCCTGATGCTCAGACTCCAGATTATGGGGGTTACTGAGGAGGGGAGGATTCTGGGTAGCAGCTGTGCACAAGGCAAAAGGGGGGCTTTGTACATAAAGACAACAAAAGACCTCCATTCTGTACTGCAATAACAGACTTCAGATGAAGGCCAGGCTGAGTAAATCCGTGTATTATCTGTCTGCGTTCATGCGCTAAAGTCTTACATCAGATTAAACTCGACAGCTAAGCATATGACTTCCTTTTAATTTAGAGTTATGCCATTCAAATAATATAAAGAGCATTTAAAAGAGGAAGACCGAACCCATACTGTAAAAAATATATATGTTAATCCTGGACAAAATATATTTTAAATGCTAAATATAAGTTTTATCTGTGTTGATAGACATTTTTAACCTTGATTTCAACCTAAATATATTATTTATAAGGTAAAGAAAATACATTTCTAACCATACAACCCTGAATCTGTGTATAGAGAACAAATTCTCTATTGTTTAAAAGGTATTTAATGTAATTAATAATGAAGAATTTGATTAGAAGTTTATTAATATATTGACTGTGACACATATGCATCTTTTGTATCATCAAAAACAGTTGGATTCAAATAGTTAGGGTTGCACAAAACATCGATTCAGCATCGATTTCGTAATGTGCGCATCCGCAATAGTCACGTCGCAAGGTCTACAACATTGAGTCTGAACTATAGTTGACCAGAAGCTACAGAACACATGGTTTGCAGAGTCACTGCTTAGTTCGGCCATAATAGAGTCCAAGTTTATTGTTTGCATGTGTTTTTAAGGCCTGTGACAGAGCTTTTTAAGAGAGTTTAAAACATTTGGGCACAACAAATGACAATGTTTAGAGGTGTAACAGCGATTAATTGTATTTAATTATTCATACCTATAAAATTGTAGAACTTTTGTCTTGTTTGTAGTCCAAATATAAAAGGGAAAGCTTTATTTTTATGATTTTTGTCCTTGTTATTGTGTCAGAATGCACACCTAACATAGTAGGCTACCTAATATGGTAAATAATATATTCATATTTTATATATATATTAGATATATTACATTTTGGTTTCCCATGCAATGGTACAAATTAGTTTCTTTGTCTTAAGGTACAATTCAGTTCTATAAAAAGGTACTGCCCCAGTGAAAAGGGTTTGTACCTTCTTTGGTACAACATTGTACCATTTTTTCTAAGAGTGTACTTGTGAAATTACCACATCAAGCATGATGTGCTAACATGGATGCAGTTCACTAGAGTGAATCTGATTAATGCTAGCTCCACATCTAACTATCAGGCACCTGTAGAGTTTATGTGTTTGAGTAAAACATATCAAAATAAAATGGACCGGGTGCTTTTTAGTAGGAATGACGGTGGATGAAAGTCAAACCAGTGAGCCGTCTGACAAAAAAAGTGCCCTTCTGAATCAAATCAGCAGGATGCCCTTCTGGATCTTTCACTTACTTTGAAAACACTACTGAGTATGCTTAGATGGACATCTGTAATCTAGTTATTTGCCTTAATAGACAATTAAATAATTAAGGTGTTTACGTGAAGTGCTTTCATGTAAGAGTTTCCTGTAGTTTTGAGTGACTTTAACAGCAGTTCGGCAGTTTCACATTCACTCATGAACATTTCATTCATGCCCACATGACAAACTGGGGTATTAGATGCAAATAAGGAGTAAGGACTGGTCCAAATTTTTCAAATGGAAAGATAAAAACTCCCGCATTTCGAGATGTGTGTGTGCAGTCTACTACTGACCGCCGCCTGTGTGGATCTGTGTGTCGGAAAATATGGCGAATAGTCCTACATGACGGTAATAGTTTGATTGCGGTGTTTACTTCAGTAATGCCACTAATAAAAGCATACTCCACATGTCTTAATTCCATTTCTGTTTAGTTCAGTTATGACTTTAGTCGGATTAAGGTAATCAAAGATCAAGTTCAAATAAAAATAAAGAAAAAATCAAGTTCAAAACTCATGTTTAACTGAATAAACAGTAAACACAAGTACATCTTATTGAACATAATTTATTTTCATCACCAATTATCAGAGTAGAACAGTTTCTCAAGGAGTTTGTGATGCATTTTGGAAACAGGAGATGAGCCCCTGGTCTAATGCGCCACCTGGCTTGAGAAACCCGTTCTCAAAGACTTATATTTAGTCATTTTTTGGGTAGCACACATATTCTGAATGCCTTCGGCAGAATTCAAATGAGCCATTTTAATCTTGATTAATCTAGATTAATCCCAAGATTACAGTGAGATTAATTGAAATTGTGGACATGTGGAATTACTGCCACAAAATCAGTCATTTTATCACGAAAAATCCCCCCCAAAATTGCAAAAAACTAGGGGGGCTGTTAAATGAACTCCACAATCATTCTCTGATTGATCACCACACCATACAAAAGAGACAGTGCAAGTATGAATGCCACCAAAAACATTTGCATGCTCGCTGAGTGTGAATGGTCATGTGTTTTAGGCTCTATACTGTGGACAGAGTTTATTTTTGTGAAACACAATAAAAATGCCAGATTGAACGTCGGGTGTTTCATTCTAAAACGCCATTTTACATTGACTACAAACTAGTGTAAATGCAGGTTCATTTCCCCTCCTCCATGCCACCTCCACCACTATATTAAGAAGCGATAATGTATTTAAACCCCCTCGATCCATCACTCCTCACAACTACAATTATTCACCTGCATCTGAATGAATCCATCTGCTCGAATCTAACACTGCTGTGCTCAGCGACTGAAGAGCTGTTTGCTTCCGATACTCTGAACCAATACAAACCTTCAAAGTCTCATTATAACACAGGTCACGGTTAAGCCGATGTAAACCAGAAGCAGGTCTGTCATCATTTACTTAATTCCAGTCACTGAACTGAAGTCTTCTGAAGCCATAGGATCGTCATGTCATATGATGAACAACGTTAAAGGAGGCCTTTCACTCTCAAATCAAGTTAAATCACTGATCAACACACACGTGATGTCAAACTGCTGGAGTTACTTTACGCTACCTATATTAGGGAACTGTAAAATTCTGTTTTCTCTTTAAAATATAGTGGACTCCATGGTTTGATGAACTCTTAAAGGGCACCTAGGTTACCCCTTTTTTCAGATTTGATATAAGTCTTTTGCGTCTCTAGAATGTGTATGTAAAGTTTCAGCTCAAAACACCCATCAGATTTTTCATTATACCTTTTACAAGATGCTGTTTTATACCTATTTCCAGCAGGGGGTTGTTTTGTCGTACTGCGCCTTTAAGGCGAGTTCTTCCCGCCTACTCTTTCTACGTGCCTTCCCGCGTGCTTTAATCTCCTCCCTCGTCTGCGTCAGACAACACACAGACTTAAAGGAAGAAGGTCTCACGTAGCGTTTGTGGAAATACTACAGTAAGAACTTTACCAATGAGTGTAGTGCAGTTGCATTGATGAGTCACACGCAATATCGTTACAAAGTTCACGCGCGCGCACACACAGATACACACGTACACCACAGCTGACACACACACACACACAGGCAGGCAGACAGACAGAGCGCGCTTAGCTTAGCACTGTTTTTGCACTCAAATGTGACAGGATACAGGCTAACCTCCACTGCTGTGGATATCTGTTATGTTATTGTACACAATAAACCTGATTTAACGTCCACAAACCGGGACTGAAGCATCTTCCTTTATAATTGTTCTGACACGCGGCTGTGGTGATGAAGTAAAGCTGAAGTAAATCGCTGTAATTAATTACACACGTGCTCTGTTTTAAACCACTTTAAACATGTGAAACTCACTCTTAATCACATTTGATGATGATTGCTGATCCTAGCGAACTGAACAGACCTTTTATTCCCGGTTGCTTTGCGCACGTCTGGTCTTGTTGACATATACACTTGACTACCGGGACATGTTAATGCGCGCAGCTGTCAATCAATCCGGTGGGCGGGGGGACCGCACTCCTACGTAAAGTTGCGGTCGGTCTGAAAACTGCTCCAATTGGTCCACCATTTTTATATTGTTAAATTTAAAAAAAAGCACTGGGTGTGTTTATATCAGCTCAATATGATGGTCTATACACTATATATACACATATGTTTGTCCAAATAGCTTGAAAAGTACATTTTTCACCATAGGTGCCCTTTAATAATAAAAAAAATAAAAATATGTCTAACCAACTGAAATCATAAAACATCAGCAATTTATTATATTTTCAACAAAAAAATAAGCTTTCTGAATTCTGTTTAAGTTTCCAGATTTAGTTTTTTTTGGGTGAACCATTTCTTTAAATTAAGATTACACTGCAATTATCAGTTTAAAGAAGACTTACCTCTTCACATACTGTTACATTTTTACGTTTGCCTTACATATCTACCGCTATATTTATTGTGGGATAGTTTTGTAAAGCAACAATTGTAAAGCAACGTGGTTGCCTCAGCAAATTTATTTTACTTTCATGAGTTTCTTTTCCTCTGTTAAACACAAAATAAGTTATTTTGAAGAAAGCTGAAACTCGTAGGAAAAACAAATACTATGGAAGTCAATGGTTACTGATTTTCCAGCTTTCGTCGAAATATCTTCTGTGTTCAACAGAGAAAAATAAAGTCACAAACAGATTTGGAGCAAATGTAGGGTGAGTAAATAATGACAGAATGTTCAGTTTTGGGGGAACTGTCTCTTTAAATCTTTTAAAGTTACTCACTTGGGCAGCTGAGGGCTTCTTTCGCAGTGATGCTCTTGTTGCAGGCGGAGCAGAGTGTGGTGGCAGAAACACTGAGGGAAGTGAACAGGTGACCATTGCTGTAACGTGACTCGCGCTCCTTCGTCTCTTTCTCCCGTGCCTTCATCCGCTCTTTCTCTTTGTTCTGCACACAGAAGAGTTGAAAAAGAAGAACGGAGATATTAAAAAGTAGGACAGCACTGACAACATGAGGGATGTTGTGTGCATGCATGACTACAAATTAGTGAATTGTCATTACATTATACACAATATATTCACAAACTACAATGTGCATCAAACGATGAAGAGAGGATTTGTCTTTGAACGTCCTAGAAATACTGTTTTAATAAGGAGTTGCACTGGGGATTTCTGCAAGTCGACTAGTAATGAAGAACTTGTGATTTAGGTTAGAGCTGGAAATAGGAAATTTGAATCCCCACTCTTAGTCAGTTAATACTTTCAAGGACCTTTCCAGCACATTAGGACAATTTTCCTCATGGCAGAAATGCAAGGATCACACATAATCTCTCCAGAACTGTTTAATAGATGTACAGTATATGACTATGACTTATACATAAAAGAAGGTCTCTAATATAAAATCTTAATTAAACAATACGTGACCCAGGGCCACAAAACCATGTTAACTTTTGGAAATTGAGATCTAAACATCACCTGAAACCTGTATAAATACATTTTTCATTGTTGTATACTTTGCTATACTATGCTATTCAACTATTTGAATAGACAACTATCTACATTTTATTTTTGACGCATAAAATTAATTTTTGCCAAAAACATCTGTGCAACATAAAACCTGGTTCTGCAGTCCAGGGAGGCACATTGGAAATATGCCCATGTACATTTTTGGAAAACCGTAAATCTGTAAATCGTCATACATATGCCTGCATTTCCTGGGTAAAACGAATGCTACGGGATGGTGTATGATGCCACTGACTTTTGTTCCATTTTCACACTACAGTTGTAAAACATTTACAGCAACATGTTATTGACGAATAAAGAATCGTTTTCACCACACTAATTAAACAATACGCATTATAGATGTGTCTGTAATCTATAATCAAACTCATGGTCCACTTATCTCCATATAGGCCTTTTCTGGAGCAGTCAGTTTGCTGAGTAGCTCACCTTGTACGATGTCATACTTGGGACCTGAAGCAAAGCGGATACGAGTCTGTCGAAGGACGGTTCTGGAAACCAGGTAAAAACTTAAAAAAACAGTGTGAACACCTGCAATGCCTTTTTCTCTTCTCGTTTGCTTTTGAAAACAGTATCGATTGGGTTTAGGGATTTGGGTTAGGGTTTAGGGTGGATTCAAGGTGATTATGCACAACAAGCTGGCCAGCTTTTCACGGATTTGACTGAAAAAGACTCGTAAATTCATTCATTAATTCTTTTCTTGTCGGCTTAGTCCCTTTATTTATCCGTGGTCGCCACAGCGGAATGAACTGCCAACTTATCCATCAAGTTTTTACGCAGCGGATGCCCTTCCAGCCGCAACCCATCTCCGGGAAAGACTTGTGAATGACACGTATGAAATAACATCACGTATTTGAGATTCTCAAAAATGCACACATGGGCCTCTGGCTGATTTGGCAACATGAGTTGCAAGCAGACATTGCTGAAGCAGCGTATTTTGCGGTTCACAAAAATGTAGCCCTGGGTGTGTATTTCCAATAAGCCCGGGCTGCATATAAATGACAAATTCTTTCAATACTGCAGAATAAAATGTGGAACTTTTAAACAATTTCAACAAGGTGCTTGAAAATAGGGCAGCAGGGTGGCTCAGTGGCTAGCACTGTCGCCTCACAGCAGAAGGTCGCTGTGAGTTCAGCTGCCATTTCTGCTGGCATTTCTGTTTGCACGTTCTCCCTGTGATGGCGTGGGTTTCCTCAGGGTGCTCCGGTTTCCCCCAGTCCAAAGACATGCGGTATAGGTGAATTGGGTAAGCTGGGTGTGTGTATATGTGTGTGTGAATGAGTGCGTATTGGTGTTTCTCAGTACTGGATTGTGGTTGGAAGGGCAGCTGCTATGTAAAACATATGCTGGAATAGTTGGCGGTTCATTCCACTGTGGCGACCCCTGATAAATAAGAGACTAAGCCGAAGGAAAATGAATGCATGTTTGAAAATGAAAAAAATCTAAATTAATTAAATTTATTTTAAAAATCTATGATAATAACATCTAATACAATTAACTGTTAACACGTTCAAGCTTATTTTTTTATTATATTTTAAATATCGCTTTAAAATGTCAAGTGAATATTTTAAAGAAATCAAATGAATTTGTATTTTATCTCTTCAGCTATTCTTCATTCTTAGTTTAGCAACAGAACCTTGCCAGTTCATATGTGAAGGACATATGGCTAGAATAAATCTGCTTGGTCCATGTGTTTTCTCCTCTCTTATGTTCCCAGATCCCACGACTCCTGTTTGGTTTGTACACAGAGTTTGTGCTGATGCAAGCTGTTAGCAAAAATATCCCTATGTTTTGTATTATGCATCTCTGCAATTTAAATGTCTATAATCAGCTCAAATGTTCAGAGCTTTAAAAAGGTGAGAGAATAGATACTCACCACAAAAGGTGAGAGAATAGATACTCACCACAAGCTTTGATAAGTTTATTTATTTAGTCAAAAACAAAGGATGTCAATGGACGTTAATAGGGCTGGACAATTAATTGAAAAGTAATCGAAATCGACATTCACAACCTATTATCAATTTAATTTTACCAGGTCAATTTTTTTCAATTACTTTGCCTAGAGCATATGGAGGCATATGACCCTGCTCTGTTAAGGCTGATTTTCACTTTGCACCCACATCTGATCTCTGAATAATCGTTCATTAGGCGAGGGAAAATTTTAGATTAATCAAGATTTTTATTTTAGGCCAAATTGCCCAGTCCTAGACTCTAAATTCAATAGTGTGCACAGGAGCTGCACACAAACAAGAAAGATTCATAATTTCATACTTTTTCCCTCCTAAAATCTCTTTGCACCCAGTGTAAAACAGAGTTGTTGATGATAACACCCCATTCCACACATGCCCTTATCAACTATTGTTTTTCCCTTCTTCAGTAGATTGCTTTTTAATGAAATTGCATGTTTAAATGCACAAAAAGACAAGGGCATGATATCAGAGTTAAAAAGCAAACAGTTTACAAGACAAATCAAAGTCAAGATATTAAAAACAGGGCTCAACAATAAGGACTGACACTCGGGGCAGTGCTGCCTTGTCACTAAAGTTTAATTTGGCTGCGACTGTTTGTCAATTGCATGCTTTCATGCCCAGACGTTTGTTTCGGAATCTGTCTCGTTTCCCCAGTAAGCTTCGAGTAAGTTCGAGTGGCATATGTGAATTCCGCAATCGTACTTGAGTCCGTGCCAAATCAATCGATCTGAGATCGCCAGAATGAGGTGGTCTTGGCTCGATTGAGCAGATCGATTGTAGTGAAACAAAACGGTCCAACAAACCAGGCTATATCACAGTGTATTACGGCTGTGTAATGGCTATATATGTAAACGGCTATATAAAGAAAGAATGATGAGCAGGGCAGGATGTCATAATGTGCATTTTATCTCTAATATGAAAGTGAAAGCATGCTGAAATATTACCGAGTGCTGTTTATCCGTTAGGAAAATTTACCGAAATTACCATCTGATAATTTTTCTATATTTTAATCTTATATTTTGTATTAGGCCAATTGCTTTGCTCAGTTTTGTGTATTTCGACATGCACCTCGAAAGAAAGATCAGCATTGCTTCATGATCTGACTTCAGTCCTGGTGTTGGGACGAGAAATGCACCCCTGCACGGACCCCCTTCATTGAGTTTCTCAAGCATTCTTAGTCTCCATTTAAAAAACAACTCAAAGGCCATAATTGATTAAAACGTAGGCTAATGTGATTATTATGCTGATGGATCAAGCAAGAACAAGAAGTGAATGCATTTTAAAATTGGGTTTACAAATTAATGAAAAAATGAAAATATTGACAGTATTATAGACTGATGTAATGAGCCGGTTTATAAAATTAGGCATTTCGGTGGGTTTTAAACAAACAAAAAAACATAATATTGTTGTAGTTTTTAACTAAACCACACATTAAACAATTCATTTTAATTAATCTAATCAGTATTGTATTTAAATTAAATCATTTTTAAATTGTCCGTTGTATTTAAAGAAAAGTTATGCTGAATAACTAAATGGCTTACTACTTTTTTTGGTGGGGCCAGAGAAAATTTTGCCAGGGCAAGTAAAAACCTGAACACACTTGCCCGATCATTAAAAAAATCCCTAGCGTTGAACCCTGATAAAGAATGTTTTTTAACAGTTCACAATAAATGGGTAACTTACTACCATATGAAACTTAGATGTCTGATTAGAGACTTTCCTAAAAATATCATGTTTTGTGTTCAACAGAAGAAAGACAATTGCATACGTTTGGAACAAGTAGAGGGTGAGAAAATTTGGGCGAAGTTGTCTAATATTTTAGTCAGCGCATTCAATTTCTCTGGCATATGTCAACAAACTTGACATCAGAGCCGATCAGGACACACTCGTTTGCATGCATTTCACGATTATCATTCGTTGCACATTTTGCTCATCTTAACAACAAAGCCACTGGTCCTGTTTTGCATGTGACATCATCCAGCAGGAAATACGATGATCTTAATGTTTTGATCTCGACTTGTGATACTGATATAAATATTAAAATGTAACCCGTGATATTAACATAAATATTAACAAATATTAAATACTACATATGTTCCAATTACATCAAAAAACATAAACATCACATAATAAGCTTTAACACTTCCCTGTCAAATTAGGGCTTGGTGTTGCTAAGGCAATATTATGTCAGTTACAATCAAACATCTCCAGAACAGGAAGGATGAAAATGCAACTTCCTCTTGAGTGGTTAAAAAGGAAAACGGCACATTGCAAAAGAAGACAGCCTAGATTACAGTGCAAAAGCCAACAGCATAAAAAGACTCTCACAAATGTTTCATTTGAGTCCTCTTTCTTCAATAGTGAATGATTAACAGATCAGACATACTCCATATAATTCCAATTTATGAAAAGGTGTCTGTGCATAACATTTTTATAGAGCTATCATGTTTAAATTGAC